CGTAGTCTGGCTTTTTTATGGCGGTTTTGGAGCAGTGGCTTCTTCCTTGCTGAGCGGCCTTTCAGGTTATGTCGATATAGGACTTGTTTTACTGTGGATATAGATACTTTTGTACCTGTTTCCTCCAGCATCTTCACAAGGTCCTTTGCTGTTGTTCAGGGATTGATTTGCACTTTTCGCACCAAAGTACGTTAAGCGGTATGACGGCTGCGTGGTCCCATGGTGTTTATACTTGCATGCTATTGTTTGTACAGATGAACGTGGTACCTTCAGGCGTTTGGAAATTGCTCCCAAGGATGAACCAGACTTGTGGAGGTCTACCATTTTTTTCTGAGGTCTTGGCTGATTTCTTTTGATTTTCCCATGATGTCAAGCAAAGAGGCACTGAGTTTGAAGGTAGGCCTTGAAATACATCCACAGGTACACCTCCAATTGACTCAAATTATGTCAATTAGCCTATCAGAAGCTTCTAAAGCCATGACATCATTTTCTTGAATTTTCCAAGCTGTTTAAAGGCACAGTCAACTTAGTGTATGTAAACTTCTGACCCACTGGAATTGTGATACAGTGAATTATAAGTGAAATAATCTGTCTGTAAACAATTGTTGGAAAAATGACTTGTGTCATGCACAAAACCTTAGTTTGTTAACACAAAATTTGTGGAGTGGTTGAAAAACAAGTTCTAATGACTCCAACCTAAGTGTATGTAAACTTCCGACTTCAACTGCATATGGGTAAACCATTTTGGATATGACGTTTTGGAAATACACACTTCACAAATACACAGCTTAAGTATTAGGTTGCCAGTTCATTTGGTTGTCAGATGTGGCTACCTACTTTGTCACGGTTGTCCCCTTGGTGAAGGGCCTGTATTGTGTTGGGTCCCCCTTTTCTCGTTAATCTCCTCTTGTAGTGTACACATGGACATCTTGAGCCAACACCATGGACATCTTGAGCCAACACCATGGACATCTTGAGCCAACACCATGGACATCTTGAGCCAACACCATGGACATCTTGAACTAACACCATGGACATCTTGAATCAACACCATGGACATATTGAGCCAACACCATGGGCATCTTAAGCAAACACCATGGGCATCTTGAGCCAACACCATGGACATCTTGAGTGAGGGAGAGAGAGATAAAGAGAGAGAGAAACAGTCATGGATGGTGAAAGACAGAGATGGAAGTAATAAAAACACGTGGGGCAAAATCTTCCCCCATCGTTACACAACAACTCAGCCTCCCAAAGCCTCATGGGATCAAGCAAGCTGAAAAAAATAAGGAAAAAAAACCCTCAAACAAATCAACAATCAACAATGAAGCAACATATTGGCACATTTTAATAATCAAACAGGACACATTTGAATAATCAAACAGTGATTATAAACGCACACACAAGCTGCGTCGGAGGCCAAATTTGAGAGAGTCTGACGCACCAAATCAACTACCCCTACGTGAACCCCCCCCCCCCCCCCCCTCCATTTACAACATGGTCTCAGGGCATTTCATATTATCCTGTATGCAAATCCGGTACGTTAGGTTATATCATGAATGGAATAGCGGTCGTGCAATGTCATACGAATTAGAGGACGTACACTGAGTATACAAAACATTAAGAAATCTTTCCATGAAACAGACTGACCAGGTGAATCCAGGTGAAAGCTATGATCCCTTATTGATGTCACTTGTTAAATCCACTTCAATCAGTGTAGATGAAGGGGAGGAGACAGGTTAAATAATGATTTTTAAGCCTTGAGGCAATTGAAACATGGATTGTGTATTTGTGCCATTCAGAGGGTGAATGGGCAAGACAAAATATTTAAGTGCCTTTGAACGAGGTATGGTAGTAGGTGCCAGTTGCACCGGTTTGTGTCAAGAACTGCAACGCTGCTGGGTTTTTCACACTCAACAGTTTCCCGTGTGTATCAAGAATGGTCCACCACCCAAAGGACATCCAGCCAATTTGACAGAACTGTGGGAAGTATTGGAGTCAACATGGGCCAGCATCCCTGTGGAATGCTTTCGACACCTTGTAGAGTCCATGCCCCGACAAATTGAGGCTGTTTTGAGGGCAAAGGGGGTGGGGAGGGTGCAACTCAATATTAGGAAGGTGTTCCTTATGTTTGGTATAGTTAGTGTATAGTATCATACGTCTTACCCGGTCGTACAATAGCATACGAATTGGATGATGTAATTTAACATACGTCTTGGACGACGTATTGTATTGCAGCTTTCTCTGAGACCAGGTTGCTTGTTGCGTCATAACAACCAAGGAGAATTACAGGGAGAATTTACGTTGCCGGTTAGGGGAACTAACAACAATGGTTAGGATCATTTACGTAAAAGGTTAGGAGATCTAAAACGACAAAGATTAGGTGAATTGGGTTAAGTTTAGAATAAGGGTTAGGGGAAATGTTAGCTAAAATGCTATATTTGTCCGCGACTCGAACACGCAACCTTTGGATTGCTAGACGGTCATGAATTACGCCCACCCATCCTCCCCGACCAACCTCCCTTCTTTCATTTCTGTCTAAAGTAACTAGACCATTAGTAGGTATTATACATCTTGGAGGCGCCAGCAATACGTAAAGTATGTTTCGTATGGCTCTGAGGCCAGGCTGCCCTTCAAGCCTCTTTATTTATTTTCTTCTCTTCCCCTGTGGTCACAGCGAGGGAGTTGATTGGACAGAGGGTTCAGTTCGGGTGCAGTTGTCTTGCCCAGATGAATAATCTGTCACGAGGTGGAACGAGGGGGTCACCAGTCATCGATGACAGTGTTTTGCCTCCATCCCCTTGTTAGTTAAGCATGTAACGGCTTTGGGGGAGGGTCAGGGTGTGTGCACTGTGCACATATTTGTGTGCATTTGTGTGTGTGTGTGTGTACAGTATGCATGTGTGCGTGTGTGTCTTGAAAGAAGGGAGCTAGATTAAAGACAAACTGTAATCCTATAGGGATTTAAGGTCTCAATAATAACTAACTGATGATAAGGAAGCCTTCGGTTAAGATGCCAGCAACATTGATTAAGCATAATCCCTTTTTTCCCCTTATCACGGTGACTATGGAATCAATTTAACAAAGCCTGTATTTTGTGAAAGGCAGTGTTTTTCCTAGTTACTGTTTTCTTTGAAAACTGAGCATCAAGGTTAGAGGTGCACCACACACTTATGATGAAGAATATCGCCTCTGCCAATCTATGTTGACCGTGGTATGTGAGTGTGAGAATGTGATCACATGCACCCATGCCTCTGTCCATTGCCCATCCATCTCAAGAGATATCTGGAGTAGTTTACTCTGTTTGAATAATAGAATAAATCGGCAATTGCACAATAACACTACAAATAATGGTTCTTATCTACAAACATTCTTTTTTCACATTTCCGGATTGAACGGTTTATATCAAACGCATCCCCTTCCAGGCTACCATACGATGGTAAGACGTGAACATCTAAAGGTCTAAAGACGAGTCATGCTACAGCACCATTCAGTCCCCTCAGGCTTATGGCTCTTCTTACATCCCAGTTGTAATGTTCTAATAGGAAACCTAGAGGAATAATGCTGACAGCCTGTAAAGTGACTCTATGCTTCAGCTGGATATGCTGGATTGAGGCCCTGACTGAGCCCTTAGCTGCCATAGCCTCTGGCACCGCTGGTACACTGCTCCTCCATGTGTTGCTCTTTACTGCTGATTTCCCAAAGGGATACCAGGTCAATCCCCAGTCCCAGGATAGAGGAGTTTGGGGTGGGGGCAGAGGGTGGTGGGGTAGTGGGGTGGTGGGCTTGACCCCAGCGCTGAAGTTAGGGGCCAGGTCTCCCTTGCAAAAGCGGTATTTTGACCTCGATGGGACAGCCTGTTAAAATAATGATTAGATAAATAATTAATTTATGTCTGAGGTTTATGTCTTATTTAATAGGGATTCCTGGGTTATGGAACAATAGCTAGGTTGTGTTCAATGAGGTGAAATGTTCATAACATTCTAATTCTACTGAACAGACAATCGTATCTGCTCTTTACAATATATTTCTATGTCTTTCTATTTCTATTTTTCATCCCATTAGATAGTTTCAACGTCAGTCAACCTGCATGACTTGTGTAATGTTCTTGACCAGGACTGAGGTCTTTATGTCACTTTTGTCAATCGGGGTCGGAATCATACAAGATAAACTAAACATCAATTACATATGGTATGTGGATTGTGTTGCATCAGAAGTATAGAAATGCCAGTATGAGAGGATTGTATTACAGAGCCAAGAAATAGACACAGGATCTCTCCTTGAAATGAGTTCTGATAGGCTCTCTGCTTCCACTATATATTTCCCTCCTGTCTCTCTATCTGCCGCCCCATAATGCTGAAACTGGCCCAGTCCTGTTTGTTGTCGCACCGGGTTTTTCCATGCAAAGAAGCATCCATCTGATATTCTCTGCTCTTGCCCAGTTGTTTTTGTGAGTGTACTTCTGTGTGTGTGTGTGTGTGTGTGTGTGTGTGTGTGTGTGTGTGTCTGTGTATGAATGTGTTTGTGTGAGAGAGACGGAGAGAGAGAAAGAGAGAGAGAAAGAAACAGAGAGAACACACACGTGTATGTGTGTGTGTATGTGTGTGTGTATGTGTGTGTGTATGTGTGTGTGTGTGTGTGTGTATGTGTGTGTGTATGTGTGTGTGTGCAGTGGGCAAGCTGTTATAAATCATCAACATCAGGGCTCACATCAGGCCCACAAGCTACATGCTCCTATCCTCAGGTACCCCCCCCCCCCCCCCTTTTGTTCAGGATTCTCTTTAGACGTCTGCACTCAAGTGCTGCAGCTGAAAGACCAGAGCGGCGCAGGCAGCGAGCCTTTGAAATGAATCAGAGGCCCATTTAACTTGTTCAATACCCCTAGTGACATACATAGTGCACTTTAGTGGATCAAGCCTATTTTTGGAGGGAATTGCATTTGCCTAAACGGGCTCTTGGTCAAGCCTGACGAGCTGTCCTTTACATTTAATTAACTCCAGATATGCTGAGTGCTGGTCCTACAGGGTGCTAGACTACAGGGTGTTAGACTACAGGTCACTAGACTATAGGGTGCTCGACTACTGGGTGTTAGACTACAGGTCACTAGACTACAGGGTGCTAGACTACTGGGTGTTAGACTACAGGTCACTAGACTACAGGTCATTAGACTAAAGCGTGTTAGACTATAGGGTGCTCGACTACAGGTCGCTGGACTACAGGTCACTAGACTACAGGTCAGTAGACTACAGGGTGCTAGACTACAGGGTGCTAGACTACAGGTTGCTTACAGTGTGCTAGACTACAGGGTGATAGACTTCAGGTCACTAGACTACAGGGTGCTAGACTACAGGGTGCTAGACTACAGGTTGCTTTACGGGATTCTAGACTACAGGGTGCTAGACTACGGTCACTAGACTACAGGGTGCTAGACTACAGGTTCACTAGACTACAGGTCACTAGACCCAGGGTGCTAGACTACAGGGTGCTAGACTACAGGTGCACTAGACTACAGGGTGCTAGACTACAGGTCACTAGACTACTACGGGTGCTAGACTACAGGGTTCCTAGACTACAGGTCACTAGACTACAGGGTGCTAGACTACAGGTCACTAGACTACAGGGTTCTAGACTACAGCAGTCGTACTAGACTCAGGGTGCTAGACTACAGGTCACTAGACTAGTCAGTCTTCACTAGACTACAGGTCCTAGACTACAGGTGTCTAGTACTAGATGGTGCTAGACTACAGGTCACTAGACTACAGGTGTGCTAGACTAGTCAGGTCACTAGACTACAGGGTGCTAGACTACAGGTACTAGACTACAGGTCTAGCTAGTACTAACAGGGTGCTAGACTCAGTCACTAGACGTACAGGGTTCTAGACTACAGGTCACTAGACTACAGGGTGCTAGACTACAGGTCAACTAGCACTACAGTGTCACTAGACTACAGGTCACTAGACTACAGGGTGCTAGACTACAGGTCACTAGACTACAGGGTGCTAGACTACAGGTCACTAGACTACAGGTCACTAGACTACAGAGTGCTAGACTACAGGTCACTAGACTACAGTTCATTAGACTACAGGTCACTAGACTACAGGGTGCTAGACTACAGGTCACTAGACTACACGGTGCTAGACTACAGGTCACTAGACGACAGGTCACTAGACTACAGAGTGCTAGACTACAGGTCACTAGATTACAGGTCACTAGACTACAGGGTGTTAGAATACTGGGTGTTAGACTACAGGTCACTAGACTACAGGGTGCTAGACTACAGGTCACTAGACTACAGGGTGCTAGACTACAGGTCACTAGACTGCAGGGTGCTAGACTACAGGGTGCTAGACTACATGTCACTAGACTACAGGGTGCTAGACTACAGGTCACTAGACTACAGGGTGCTAGACTACAGGTCACTAGACTACAGTTCACTAGACTACAGGTCACTAGACTACAGGGTGCTAGACTACAGGTCACTAGACTACAGGGTGCTAGACTACAGGTCACTAGACTACAGGTCACTAGACTACAGGGTGCTAGACTACAGGTCACTAGACTACAGTTCACTAGACTACAGGTCACTAGACTACAGTGTGCTAGACTACAGGTCACTAGACTACAGGGTGCTAGACTACAGGTCACTAGACTACAGGTCACTAGACTACAGAGTACTAGACTACAGGTCACTAGACTACAGGTCACTAGACTACAGGGTGTTAGACTACTGGTGTTAGACTACAGGTCACTAGACTACAGGGTGCTAGACTACTGGGTGTTAGACTACAGTCACATACTACGGGTGTTAGACTACAGTCACTAACTACAGGGTGTTAGACTACAGGTCACTATACTACAGGGTGCTAGACTACAGGTCACTAGACTACAGGGTGTTAGACTACATGGGGCTAGACTACAGGTCACTAGACTACAGGGTGTTAGACTACAGGGTGCTAGACTACAGGGTGTTAGACTACAGGGTGCTAGACTACAGGTCGCTGGACTACAGGTCACTAGACTACAGGTCACTAGACTTCAGGTCACTAGACTACAGGGTGCTAGACTACAGGGTGCTAGACTTCAGGTCACTAGACTACAGGGTGCTAGACTACAGGGTGCTAGACTACAGGTTGCTTACGGGGTGCTAGACTACAGGGTGCTAGACTACAGGTCACTAGACTACAGGGTGCTAGAATACAGTTCACTAGACTACAGGTCACTAGACTACAGGGTGCTAGACTACAAGGTGCTAGACTACAGGTCACTAGACTACAGGTCACTAGACTACAGGGTGTTAGACTACTGGGTGTTAGACTACAGGTCACTAGACTACAGGGTGCTAGACTACTGGGTGTTAGACTACAGGTCACTATACTACAGGGTGTTAGACTACAGGTCACTAGACTACAGGGTGTTAGACTACAGGTCACTATACTACAGGGTGCTAGACTACAGGTCACTAGACTACAGGGTGTTAGACTACATGGGGCTAGACTACAGGTCACTAGACTACAGGGTGTTAGACTACAGGGTGCTAGACTACAGGGTGTTAGACTACAGGGTGCTAGACTACAGTTCGCTGGACTACTGGTCACTAGACTACAGGTCACTAGACTACAGGGTGCTAGACTACAGGGTGCTGGACTACAGGTCACTAAACTACAGGATGCTAGACTACAGGGTGCTAGACTACAGGTTGCTTACGGGATGCTAGACTACAGGGTGCTAGACTACAGGTCACTAGACTACAGGGTGCTAGACTACAGGTCACTAGACTACAGGTCACTAGACTACAGGGTGCTAGACTACAGGGTGCTAGACTACAGGTCACTAGACTACAGGGTGCTAGACTACAGGTCACTAGACTACAGGGTGCTAGACTACAGTTCACTAGACTACAGGTCACTAGACTACAGGGTGCTAGACTACAGGTCACTAGACTGCAGGGTGCTAGACTACAGGGTGCTAGACTACATGTCACTAGACTACATGGTGCTAGACTACAGGTCACTAGACTACAGGGTGCTAGACTACAGGTCACTAGACTACAGTTCACTAGACTACAGGTCACTAGACTACAGGGTGCTAGACTACAGGTCACTAGACTACAGGGTGCTAGACTACAGGTCACTAGACTACAGGTCACTAGACTACAGAGTGCTAGACTACAGGTCACTAGACAACAGTTCACTAGACTACAGGTCACTAGACTACAGGGTGCTAGACTACAGGTCACTAGACTACAGGGTGCTAGACTACAGGGTGCTAGACTACAGGTCACTAGACTACAGGTCACTAGACTACAGGGTGTTAGACTACTGGGTGTTAGACTACAGGTCACTAGACTACAGGGTGCTAGACCACAGGTCACTAGACTACAGGGTGCTAGACTACAGGTCACTACACTGCAGGGTGCTAGACTACAGGGTGCTAGACTACATGTCACTAGACTACAGGGTGCTAGACTACAGGTCACTAGACTACAGGGTGCTGGACTACAGGTCACTAGACTACAGTTCACTAGACTACAGGTTACTAGACTACAGGGTGCTAGACTACAGGTCACTAGACTACAGGGTGCTAGACTACAGGTCACTAGACTACAGGTCACTAGACTACAGGGTGCTAGACTACAGGTCACTAGACTACAGGGTGCTAGACTACAGGTCACTAGACTACAGGTCACTAGACTACAGGGTGCTAGACTACAGGGTGCTAGACTTCAGGTCACGAGACTACAGGGTGCTAGACTACAGGGTGCTAGACTACAGGTTGCTTACGGGGTGCTAGACTACAGGGTTCTAGACTACAGGTCACTAGACTACAGGGTGCTAGACTACAGTTCACTAGACTACAGGTCACTAGACTGCAGGGTGCTAGACTACAGGGTGCTAGACTACAGGGTGCTAGACTACAGTTCACTAGACTACAGGTCACTAGACTACACGGTGCTAGACTACAGGTCACTAGACTACAGGGTGCTAGACTACAGGTCACTAGACTACAGGTCACTAGACTACAGGGAGCTAGACTACAGGGTGCTAGACTACATGTCACTAGACTACAGGGTTATTGACTACAGGGTGCTAGACTACAGGGTTCTAGACTACATGTTGCTAGACTTTACACTTACAGAGCAGAAATAACGCTGTTTTTATAATGCAGTAAAAACAAAGTGTTGTGGTATACTTACAGGATTCAATCATCTGGACTGGCCTAGCGGTAGCTTCCCAAATAATGAATACAGAGGTTGTGTTTATGTATGTTTTTGTGTGTTTGTGTGTGTGTGTGTGTGTGTGTGTGTGTGTGTGTATGTGTGTGTGTGTCTTTCTCTGTGTCTGTGCTCTGTAACCTCCTTGGGGGTGACCTGTGACTGTGTAGCATGGTTACCAGGGTTACCAGGGTTACCAGGTCTCTGATTTGTGTCGAGAACAATGGCAGCCCTGACCACCAGGCACTAGAGAGAATCAATGTAAATAATACATTTGTCACGCCCTGACTCAGGGGACGGTTATTTGTTGAGTCAGGGTGTGTATATTTCGTGTTGTGTTTATTTCTATGTTTAGTTTCTAGATCGTTTAGATCTATGTTGGCCAGGGTGGTTCCCAATCAGAGGCAGCTGTAGCTCGTTGTCTCTGATTGGGGACCATACTTAGGCAGCCGTTTGGCACCAGTCTGTGTGGGATCTTGTTCCGTGTAAGGTATGTTGTTTGTGTGCTACCTTGGACTTCACGTTTCGTTTGTTGTTTTGTCGTGTGTTCAGTACGTGAATAAATATGAATACATATCACGCTGCGCCTTGGTCCTTCTTGTTAAGTGTACCGTTGTTGATAGTGTACTATAAATGTTTTGCAACAGAAATTGAAAATAAGTGTTTCTTATTGGATGAGTCCAAGTAGTCCCTCCCTGTTTCTATCCGTTTTCTTCCATTTGGTGACTACTGACCCTGGTTCTCCCTTCTGCTTGACTTTGTGTTGTGATGTTAGAGTGATGACTACATGCGCACAATCACACATACAAGGTCAAAATGCCTATCCACGGTACTATATATATTTTTGACTGCACTATAAAAACAAGGTGCTATCTAGAACCTCAAAGGGTTCTTCGGGCTGTCCCCATAGGAGAACCCTTTGAAGAACCCTTTTTGGTTCCAGGTAGACCCCTTTTGGCTTCCATGTAGAACCCTTTCTACAGAGGGTTCTACATGGAAACCAAAAGGGTTCTACCTGGAACCAAAAATAGTTATCCTATGGTGACAGCTGAAGAACCCTTTTGGAACCATTTTTTTCTAAGTGTAGACATGACAAATGACAGGAGAAAGGAAATAAGCCGTGCATTTGTTGCTTGTGTTGAATGTACAGTACAGTATATTACAGTACATTACAGTACATTACAGTACATTACAGTACATTACAGTACAGTACAGTACAGTACAGTACAGTACAGTACAGTACAGTACAGTACAGTACAGTACAGTACAGTCATTCTGCATCAGTGGTGATGTGTTATCAGGATATCCGAGTCTGGGATGCCTATTCTCTTCGCTCTGTTAGGTGTCTTGTCTCTTCAAATAGCATCTCTGGGCTCCATAACTACAAAGCATTAGAAGCTGAGGCATTCATTGATATACACTGTACATGCACACACATAACAATTTGATTTATGATACACAAAAACACATTATTAACTGAAGCGCTCATTGAATTATCTTCATCTCGAATATTTTCCCAAATACACATGAATCCTGTACTGGTGGTTACTAAGATAATTATCTAGGTTATAAAAATGGGGTCAAATAGGAACGTGAATAACCAGAGCTGGATGTGAAAACATGGACACATGAGAGAGGCAGGATTCTGTCAAAGCAAAGGTTGAGATTATGCTGCGAGAGAGAGAAAAGCAACCCAAGCGTACTGGCATTTTGTTCAGCCCTTCACAATGTCCATTGCATCAGGGTCCGGGGCATTGCAGGCCACCCGGATGCAGTTAATAGCCGAAATGGTATGGAAGTAAAAGGGGAGACTTCACATGCATGGTATACAGGTGCAGGGGGCCACACAAAGGCCATGGAATCCCACACAGATTGATTTAACCCGTTTATAAAGCTGCAAAACACGAAGGGATATTTATGTCATAGGCTTTAATGCAGGTCAGGCCTGATATATTGTATAACATGTATAATATCTTAATGTGCGATTGACACTCATTGAAATACTGCATTTGATAACTCTTTTCATGGGGGTATTGACCCAGAAAGTGATTTCTGATTAAACATATTCAGTAACACTTTATGAGCAGTTATTGTCACGTATGTTGTGCAGTACAATAAGGCGTTATGAATGTGTTTGCATTATATGAAGAGGGTATTCATGGGATGTGTTACCAGATAGTTTTATATTTTCAATGAAGTTGTCATCTTCTGAGCCTGTATTAATATGGAAACTTATAGGTAAGGCCTTAGGCAGGTCTAAAGTGGCTATAGTGATTATTTTGATATTTTATTCTCTAGTGAGCAGGTTGCTACCTGATTGAAAGACTGTATAAGTCTCCAGACTCTGATGGACTGAGGTTGTAAGCTGAGATAAATGGGACATCAGGTGCTCTTTTGATGTGGACTCTCACAAGGAACAACATGAAGAAACGCATGAATGGATGAAAAATGAGGCCTGTCCAATCATTCAATTAGAATACAAAACAGATGCCGTAGTCTGTGCACGGAAGTTTGTGCACCCACACAAACACGCGTACAGGCATTCACACACATACACATGCATACACACACACACACACACACACACACACACACACACCATTACACACCCACACCAAGCATTAAGACAATAGTGGCCACAATCTATTTTGGCGACAGAATAACTGTCCTCGTCTGAAGTGATGATGTGAGTGAATGGGAGGCAATATCAATGACAATGACAACTGTTTCATTATGATAACCCCCCCAAGCTTGGTCTATCTGTACAGTACGATAGCAGCCAAATAGGACATTAAACCTTTTACTGCAGTGGGCTAAATCAGGGTCACACAGTGTTTCTTGGTAGTCTTAAACAAATCTACTTTGAAACAAAAGTCTACACCTCACACACAAAAAAAAAGAAGACCCCTGTACCATGTCAGATGTAGAGTTGAAATGTATTACATTTGGAGTTTAGATCCCAATATTACACTTTATATACAGTGCATTCGAAAAGTATTCAGACCCCTTGACTTTTTCCACATTTTGTTACCTTACAGCCTTTTTCTAAAATTGATTAAATAAACAATGTTCCTCGTTAATCTACACACAATACTGCATAATGACAAAGCAAAAAAAGTTTATTTGAAATTTCTGCAAATGTATTACAAATAAAAAACAGAAATACCTTATTTACATAAGTATTAAGACCCTTTGTTATAAGACTTGAAATTGAGCTCAGGTGCATCCTGTTTCCATTGATCATCCTTGAGATGTTTCAACAACTTGATTGGAGTCTACCTGTGATAAATTCAATTGATTGGACATGATTTGGAGAGGCACACACCAGTCTATATAAGGTCCCACAGTTGACAGTGCACGTCAGAGCAAAAACCAAGCCACGAGGTTGAAGGAATTGTCCGTAGAGTTCCGAGAGAGGATTGTGTCAAGGCACAGATCTGGGGAAGGGTACCAAAACATTTCTGCAGCATTGAAGGTCCCCAAGAACACAGTGGCCTCCATCATGCTTAAATGGAAGAATTTTGGAACCACCAAGACTCTTCCTAGAGCTGGCCGCCCGGCCAAACTGAGCAATCGGGGGAGAAGGGCCTTGGTCAGAGAGGTGACCAAGAACCTGATGGTCCCTACGGTGAAGCATGGTGGTGGCAGCATCATGCTGTGGAGATGTTTTTCAGCGGCAGGGACTGGGAGACTAGTCAGGATCGAGCTAAAGATGAATGGAGCAAAGTACAGAGAGATCCTTGTGGAAAACCTGCTCCAGAGTTCTCAGGACCTCAGACAGGGATGAAGGTTCACCTTCCTTCCACAGGACAACGACCCTAAGCCAAGACAACGCAGGAGTGGCTTCGGGACAAGTCTCTGAATGTCCTTGAGTGGCCCAGCCAGAGCCCGGACTTGAACCAGATCAAACATGTCTAGAGAGACCTGAAAATAGCTGTGCAGCGACTCTCCCTATCCAACCTGACAGAGCGTGAGAGGTTCTACAGAGAAGAATGGGAGAAACTCCCCAAATACAGGTGTGCCAAGCTTGTAGCGTCATACCCAATAAGACTTGAGGCTTTAATCGCTGCCAAAGGTGCTTCAACAAAGTACTGAGTAAAGGGTCTGAATACTTATGTAAATTGAATATATCTGGTTTTTATCTTTAATAATCCCCCCCCCCAAAAAAAGTTTTTGCTTTGTCATTATTGGGTATTGTGTGGAGATTGATGAGGGATAAAACAAAAACAAAAAAAGTGTATAATTATGAAATTATGAAAAATATTAATAACATTCCACCCATGAGGCCACTAGAGGGCGATTTGGTTATTTGACTGCAGGAAAGGGTTCTACGTTAACTGAGGTCTGCTTTTAGGAGTGATACCCCTGTGTGACTGCCCTGTTGATTACCTCTCTCTATGTCTTTCTATCTCCCACACCCTACTCCCTCTCCCTATCACCTCCTCCCTACTCCCTACTCTCCCTCCCTCTCTCTATCTCTCTCTTTCCCTCCCCTCTCCCCCCTGGTAGCTGGTGAAGTCAACCCTAGGACAGGAGACTCAGGATGAGAAGATGGCCACCCTGCTGCTACCACCGGGTCCTGACAGCTTGCACCGGTTCTCCCGGGAGTCTCTGGCTGCCGTGGAGCAGCGGATCGCAGAGGAAGAGGCCCGGCGCACCAAGCACTACCAGGAGGACCTGGGAGACGTGGAGCTGCCCCGGCCCCGGGCCGACCTGGAGGCTGGCAAACAGCTGCCGCGCATCTTCGGCGACATCCCCGCCGGCCTGGTGGGCGTCCCACTGGAGGACTTTGACCCGTTCTACTTCAAGAACCACAGAGTGAGCTCTGGGGGGTGATGGTGGTGGGAGAATGGGAGGAGCTGTGTGTGTGTGTGTGTGTGTGTGTGTGTGTGGGTGTGTGGGTGTGTGTGTGTTTGTGTGTGTGCGTGAGGTGGTGGGTGTCTCTCTCTCAAGTGTCCTTGTACTTGTGTTCGAATGCCTGTGAGTGTTGAATGTGTATCTAAGAACATGTCACCTCTTATATCATCACTGACATTGCTTTCCTTTGTCTATTGGACCTCCTAGAAGGATTTCGTCTTTAGTACCGTTCCAATTACTGGAACATCTTCCTGTGTTCTTTTATTCATCTGAACCAATTTCCCCTTCTGAAACACATCTCTGATGTACTCACAGTGACCATCCTTATAGCTCTGAAATGGTGTGTGTGTGTGTGTGTGTGCATGTGCGTGTGTGTGTCATCATTCTTAATGGAAACTGTCTGTGGCCTTTGAGGACGGGTTGAAAGGATTCCCCATGTCCATGTTTGGGCCCTGTGACTGGGCCTGTTTGGGCTGATGATTCAGGATATGTGTGTGTGTACGTGCACGTGCGCGCGCGTGCACGTATGTGTGTTCGCAGGATGCAAAAGGTAGGACTGACTTATGAATGAAAGGATAAGTCAGACAGACAGACAGACTGATGATGGTTTAGTGTTGCCTCCACTATCAGTTTCTCACACAGTCCTTCTTCCTTAATAACAGTTTTGAAATGGGGTTGTGTGTCCCCAACTGTGTAGACTGGAGGGTGCCTCATCAAGTCATTCTATACAGTATATCTCCCAGAATGGCACATTTTTGTTCCAGCCCAGCACCAGCACATCCATATTGAACTACTCAATTAATCGTCAAGCCGCTTGATAAGTTGAATTAGGTGTGTTAGTGCTGGGCTGGAACAAGAATGTGCAACCCTGGGGGTACTGTAGGACAGTAGTTGAGAATAACATGTATTCCAGGATGTGAATATTAAGCTTTTAAGCTGGTGGATAAATCTAATTGAACTGACAGCTATGGCCGTAGTTGGTGTGGCATGAGTTGGATTTAAGTGATTTGAGTGTGTAGCAATTGAGGACATAACATTTGATTTGATTTAATCAGTTGCCCAGGGAGTGGAAATTGTACCGTTACAGTATGTGAAAAGGACAGAGGCTAGAGTACTGGTTTTAAGGTTGTCACGCCCTGACTCAGGGGACGCTTATATGTTGAGTCAGGGTGTGTATATTTCCTTGTTGTGCTTTTTCTATGTTGTCGATCTAGTATGTGTGGATCTATGTTGGCCGGTGTGGTTCCCAATCAGAGGCAGCTGTCGCTCGTTGTCTCTGATTGGGGACCATACTTAGGCAGCCTATTGGCACTGTCTAGTTGTGGGATCTTGTTCCGTGTAAGGTATGTTGTGTGTGCTACCTTGGACGTCACGTTTCATTTGTTGTTTTGTTGTGGTGTTTATCAGTAAATAAACATGTACGTATATCACGCTGCGCCTTGGTCTGACCCGTCCTTCAACGAACGTGACAAAGGTGCTCAGTTTTAAAATTGGCCTTTCAAAATTCATCAGTCAGGAGCTTTGGTTGGTGGATACAGAGGGAGGCTGAGGTCTGTAGAGCTAGTTCTCCTGGGGATAGAGGACATGTCAGGTGGATACAGTTGTGGGTCCTCTCCTCACTTTCCTCTCTCTTCCTCAATGTTTCTGCCTCTTCCCCCCCTCCCCTCACTCTCTCTCTCCCCATCCCTCCTGCACCCCCCCTCTCTCTGTCTGTCTCTTTCTCTCTCTCTCTCTAACTCTCCCTCAATCTCTCTCTCCCCATCCCTCCTGCACCCCTTTCTCTGTCTCTCTCTCTCTCTCTCTCTCTCTCTCTCTCTCTCTCTCTCTCCTCTCTCTCTCTCTCTCTCTCTCTCTCTCTCTCTCTCTCTCTCTCTCTCTCTCTCTCTCTCTCTCTCTCTCTCTCTCCTCCAGAGGATAAGAGCTCCTGCTAATTTCCCAAAGGTTTTGTAGGGGAATGGAACAAATAAACCAAACCAAACCAACCTCATTGTTTACCTTAACCGGCACAGGCCATCTGATAATCCAATAGGTCTATGCAAGCCCACACCGACAGAGAGTGGATAGACCTGCTGGTACTATATGAACTACATTTTAAGAGATGTTTTCAGATGACTATGAAAGCTTGGGATGTGGACTCATCATTAGTCTGTTTAGAGGTCTGAATACATCGGACCAGGGTTGCAAAATTCCAGTAACTTTCCCAAAATTCCTAGGTTTTCCAGGAATCTCTGTTGTAACATTCCCGGAATCAGGATGTAATAGGCAGGAAATTCAGTATTTCTGGAAAATATGGGCTGGGAAAGTTACTGAAATTATGCAACCCTACATCGGACACGAGTGTAATGTCTCTTTACAGAGCAGAGAGCACCAGCACGGGGGGCTTGCCATGTAATCAGTGCTTATGTTTGGGTGTGTGTGTGTGTGTGTGTAGATGTACTGTAAGTGTGTGGTTGGTGCCACCGCAAGTTTATTGTACATGTTTATTGCCATGCCATATTGTCCTTAACCATGATGCATCTCTCTGGTTCTTTCGATCTCTCACCCCCCCCCCCCCCCACCCACCCTCTCACATTCTTCCTCTCTCTCTCTGTCTCTCTCACTTCCTGTTTCTCCACAGACATTTATAGTACTGAACAAAGGGAAGGCCATCTTCCGATTTAGTGCCACATCTGCACTCTATATTTTTAGCCCCTTTCATCCTGTTAGAAGAGCATCAATAAAGGTTTTAGTACACTCATATCCTTTCTGATGGAACGCTCACAACACCACCAACACTTGAAAATCAATGAGCAGAGATTGAACAACATTTGGGAGGGAACCAAAGCCTTAGAATGTACTCTAGTTCAGTTTGTCTAGTTGTAATCATGTCGTTCTCGTTGTAATCATGTTGACATTGTGTACTGATGGGGGTAAATAGAGACAGGGGAGGGAGCTGAGCTGCTCAGAATTGAGTCGTTGGTATTGCCTGCTGTCTCTCACTATCAGTGAAGAGAGGAAATGTCAGTCCCACTATTAGTTTGTATTGTACTGTTTTATTACGCAAAATCAATGAATGAGAGGAGTCTACACAGGACCTTTAGTATTTTAGTATCTCTTCAAAATGTCTCAACACAGATGGAACTCTTCAAGAATTGTCCCCTGCCTTATGTGCGTTAGACTCATCTTAGAGGTCATACTCCAAAACAGATTTAATCTCAAGCTGTCACTGACTCATAGACTCAAACAGTAATGAACCCTCCAGCAACCATGGTGGTCACTGTTAGGTTATGTAATAGACTGGATGGTTACTGTTAGGTTATGTAATAGACAGGATGGTCACTGTTAGGTTATGTAATAGACTGGATGGTTACTGTTAGGTTATGTATAGACTGGATGTTTACTATTAGTTTATGTATAGACTGGATGGTTACTGTTAGGTTATGTAATAGACTGGAATGGTTACTGTTAGGTTATGTATAGACTGGATGGTTACTGTTAGGTTATGTATAGACTGGATGGTTACTGTTAGGTTATGTATAGACTGGATGGTTACTGTTAGGTTATGTTATAGACTGGATGGTTACTGTTAGGTTATGTATAGACTGGATGGTTACTGTTAGGTTATGTTATAGACTGGATGGTTACTGTTAGGTTATGTAATAGACTGGATGGTTACTGTTAGGTTATGTATAGACTGGATGGTTACTGTTAGGTTATGTATAGACTGGATGGTTACTGTTAGGTTATGTAATAGACTGGATGGTTACTGTTAGGTTATGTATAGACAGGATGGTTACTGTTAGGTTATGTATAGACTGGATGGTTACTGTTAGGTTATGTATAGACTGGATGGTTACTGTTAGGTTATGTAATAGACTGGATGGTTACTGTTAGGTTATGTATAGACTGGATGGTTACTGTTAGGTTATGTATAGACTGGATGGTTACTGTTAGGTTATGTAATAGACTGGATGGTTACTCTTAGGTTATGTATAGACTGGATGGTTACTGTTAGGTTATGTATTGACATATGGTTACTGTTAGGTTATGTAATAGACTGGATGGTTACTGTTAGGTTATGTATAGACTGGATGGTTACTGTTAGGTTATTAATAGACTGGATGGTTACTGTTAGGTTATGTAGTAGACTGGATGGTCACTGTTAGGTTATGTATAGACTGGATGGTTACTGTTAGGTTATGTATAGACTGGATGGTTACTGTTAGGTTATGTATAGACTGGATGGTTACTGTAAGCTCAGTCAAGTGATGCTGTAAATCACAAGCTAACAACACCATGTTCTTTTCTCAGAGGATTCGGGAAGCCCCTATAGGAATGGGATTTTGCTGTAGTGACCAAGGCCATTGTATAAGGTATCCATAGTTATGGGAACGGTATGGGAATGTTGATGGTTCCTGTAGCTATGACACACAGTTACCCATCATCCAGTGGAAGCCAGGAAGTGACTGAATCTGCCTGAAAAAAATGTGACTAGATTTTTTACATGATATTGACCAGAGCTTTAGTTTTGTTTTGTCCACCGACACATTATAGGAAGGTTGCCCCCCCACCCCACCCCTCCTCCGCCAAACTCCCCCTATTCCTATCCTCCTCCGCTGAGACCTGCTATAAATATCGGGAGCGGCGTTTGCGGGTGTTGAGAAATACTAGGCTGCAGGACACTTTGCTCTTGTCAGCCTGATAAGCGGGTGGAATAGGTCGTCTCTAAAGGTGTTGTGTGGGTGGGGGCGGAGGGGGGGGGTGGTTAGGATGGGGTGGGGCGGGGTGGAGGGGCAAGAGATAACCCTCTTCTCATACAACCCATGGGCCCCATGCGAGGGTCTGCCTCCAGTCCACCCACCTGACACCTTGGTGTGTCGCTATGGCGCCAGGCGGGGGCGGAGTCTTCCCAATATGAGATGTCATAGCTCTGCGATTAAATACGAGGGCTGGGATTTAGGATGTAGGACCGTATGACTACTCTGCCTGATAGCTGTCAAGACGGCAGCATGAGCAATCACATACTAAAATATGTACCGTACATCAACCATATACACAGAACACGTGCACACACACGATTCTGCGTCGGCTCGTCCTTTTATGCGTGTGCCTATCTCTCTGTTCATGCCAGTGTCACGCCTGTATGTGTGCATGTGTGAGCTGACAGAGTGGTGAAAAGCGCTCACTTTGAGGCGGCGTCAGAGATGCCATGTGTCCTCACGATAGCTGATTACCCAGGGGTCCTTGGGCCAGGGTACATGTTTGATTATTAACTAAGGATCAATGAGGTTGTAGCCAGAACACACTTACTTTAAAGTGGGTACAGCACTACAAAAATGTGATTGAAGTCATCAAAGCGAGACTATATAATATAGCCTGTAGATTAAGCCGTCAGAGACCTAAGTAAGCATTCTATAAAAGGATGAGAATTCATGCAAAAGCTTCCGCCGAGATATGCTTTGACGACTCGCAGTTGGTGCGTAAAAAAACAGTCTGTGTACATTTGTCTAGCGATTTATTAACAAACCCTGTGATTCCAGGCCCTAGCAGCTTTTGGAAGGAGTATGATTTGTACATAATGCTGAAGTTGACTTTCTCTAGTGTGGGTGCTCTGGAAGACTCTGTAGAGCCAGGGTGCTTATCGTTATGGTGACTTATTTGAGTAAAGTGCTGTCTGTGAGTGTGGGAATTTGAACAAGCCGTCATAGTAATGCTTGCTCAGGCAAAGCGACTTATGACACGGCAGCCATTATTTTGACACCTCAGTTTTGGCAGGGGAGTCATTTGATTGTATAACTGACCAGTGATTCAAACTCTAGTTGCCTGCTGGTAGCCCTCTGACCTAAAGCCTAAGCACAAGGTTACTCATCACAAGGGTTTTTCCGAACCATCTGTAAATACAAGCAAAAATAAGAACACAGGACGTTCTCCCGTACGAATAGCCCAGCGCATTTGGCGTAGCCTACAGCAAGCCATTTCCAACTGTAAATGCAAATGAGGGACTATTTATTTTATTGAGAGATTTTCGATAGACAGATATCAACGGATCAACATTGAAATACAGAGGGATATCAACTGATCAAAATCTTTTAAAATATAGGCCAAGTCACCAACTTTCCAAAACACCTCCTCAATTCCACCTCACTGGCTGTGTTGAAGTTGCATATTTAATATGCTTTTTAATAGGCAGTTTGGGTTCCACATGCCACTCTCCACACAGCAAGGCGGATGTTCTAATTTTGCCCATGAAATGAGAAGGGAGGGGGGAGGGGGAGGATAATGCTATTAGCACCATGGTGGCCAAGTCTAACCAACAGCTGAGGTATAATCTTTGCCGTTAATTAGCTTTTAATTAGCTTTTGCCCCAGCAAATACTTTGAATATTTGTTCTGTGCTTGCTCTTTGCCCCTATAATTTAAATGCACTGCAATGATGCACTGTGAGTATTTAAAAGTGATATACATCTTACTTTGGACAGATATTTTCGACAGTATATTTATTATTTCAGATAATTTGGTTTCCTAAACATTGAAAATATTTAAAACGATTAAAATATACACTACACGCCTACATGCAGAGATGGTTCCTCAGCCTAGTGGCAAAGCTTCACATAGTGTATAATTCTGTGCCAATGTAGCTTTTGATCACTGAAATAGTATGTAACAACAATGTTATTACTTGGGGTTATTTTAGTGTTACTAAACAGGGATAAGAACAATATTACACAAAGTGTTTGAAAATGTTTTTCTTTCTTCTATTCACTGTGCTCAGTAGAGTGATATGACAGCAGGCAAAACAAACCTAAACGGGATACTTGGGCATAATCACTACGTATTAATATTCAGAATAGTACTGTTGCAATATATGTATATGTTGTTATTGATGCCACCATTTTCCTTAACCACGTGCACGTTATTCAGTCTGTTCATAATGTGCACTATTTTGACCAACTGTTGCTTCATGGCCATGTCGGAACCAGCGTATTGGGCCAAGTATGTCGAGTAAGTATGCCTTATTCGCCCATCATCTCTGTCTCTCAGCATTGACGCTAGCTTCTGTGAATTCTCTCTGTGTTCTTCTTTCTGTTCCCTCAACCCTCTTTGACTGTATTGATCCTCTGTGCCCTATGTGTCCTGATGTAACGCTTTGCCAGGTGTTTGTTGCCTTGCCAACCACAATTTGCAAGTAAGTTCACGATTTTAGTGTACCCGGCTAATTTGCTAATTGCACTCTTGCTATGCTACATCGGAATGAACAACCATGGTATGGGTGTCACATACCGTTTATGCATTCTTCAATTTTCATTAAAGGGATTCATATTCCAACCAAACACTGTGATAAACAAACAATTGAAAGCTAAATCAATGATGGAATGGGAATTATCATTCAGTTGAATCTCTATCTATCTATCTATCTATCTATCTATCTATCTATCTATCTATCTATCTATCTATCTATCTATCTATCTATCTATCTATCTATCTATCTATCTATCTATCTATCTATCTATCTATCTATCTATCTATCTATCTATCTATCTATCTATCTATCTATCTATCTATCTATCTATCTATCTATCTATATATCTATCTGTCTATCTGTCTATCTGTCTATCTGTCTATCTGTCTATCTGTCTATCTGTCTATCTGTCTCTGTCTCTGTCTCTGTCTCTGTCTCTATCTCTGTCTCTGTCTCTGTCACTATTCTCTCTTAGTCAATCATTCACAGTATAAGTCCATCTCACACACTGATTTGCTGTTAGGCAGAGGCATGTGTCATATGGATAGAGCGGATTTGACCCACAGACATGTAACCAACATAGTCTAGTCTGCTATGTTGTGAGAAGCAACTGCCCTTTCTTTGAAACTTTCTGAGTCTAAAACCAGAGTACACTCTTAGAAAAAAAGGTGCCATCTAGAACCTAAAAGGGTTCTTCAGCTGTCTCCATAGGATAACCCTTTGAATAACCCTTTTTGGCTCCAGGTAGAACCTTTTTGGGTTCCATGTAAAAATCTTTTCGACAGAGGGTTCTACATGGAACCCAAAAGGGTTCTACCTGGAACTAAAAGTGTTTCTACCTGGAACCAAAAAGGGTTATCCTATGTCAGTCTTTCTGCCAATGGAATCTGCGCAGTCAACAACACACTACTAATCGGCACGATCTGTAGCATGCAATGACTCCCAACCAGTCACAGTCTCCCTTCTTAACCTTACAGTCAGGAACAATGACAAAGACTAAAAGGAATATGGCTGTGCACTTCCTCCAAATGCTGCATCCTCCATCCCAGTCTCTGTTGCCTCTGACTCTGAAGAGTGTCTCTCTCTCTCGCTCTCTCTCTTTTAATTTATATTATATTACAATTAAGTGACCCCCTGGATTTTAATGCCCATTCTTGTCTTGATGACCTGCTTAACTCATCAAGGAGCACTGCTGTCAAAGAGCTTGTTGTCTGTTTCATTCCCTCGGGGCTGTACTGTCCACATGCTTCTCATTCTTACTGTCCTGTGAATCAGTCTCTCCCTAAAGCTGCTACATGTCTCTGTCTCTTCCTAAAGCTGCTACATGTCTCTGTCTCTTCCTAAAGCTGCTACATGTCTCTGTCTCTCCCTAAAGCTGCTACATGTCTCTGTCTCTCCCTAAAGCTGCTACATGTCTCTGTCTCTCCCTAAAGCTGCTACATGTCTCTGTCTCTCCCTAAAGCTGCTACATGTCTCTGTCTCTCCCTAAAGCTGCTACATGTCTCTGTCTCTCCCTAAAGCTGCTACATGTCTCTGTCTCTCCCTAAAGCTGCTACATGTCTCTGTCTCTCCCTAAAGCTGCTACATGTCTCTGTCTCTCCCTAAAGCTGCTACATGTCTCTGTCTCTCCCTAAAGCTGCTACATGTCTCTGTCTCTCCCTAAAGCTGCTACATGTCTCTGTCTCTCCCTAAAGCCGCTACATGTCTCTGTCTCTCCCTAAAGCTGCTACATGTCTCTGTCTCTCCATAAAGCTTCTACATGTCTCTGTCTCTCCCTAAAGCTGCTACATGTCTCTGTCTCTTCCTAAAGCTGCTACATGTCTCTGTCTCTTCCTAAAGCTGCTACATGTCTCTGTCTCTCCCTAAAGCTGCTACATGTCTCTGTCTCTTCCTAAAGCTGCTACATGTCTCTGTCTCTTCCTAAAGCTGCTACATGTCTCTGTCACTTCCTAAAGCTGCTACATGTCTCTGTCTCTCCCTAAAGCTGCTACATGTCTCTGTCTCTCCCTAAAGCTGCTACATGTCTCTGTCTCTCCCTAAAGCTGCTACATGTCTCTGTTTCTTCCTAAAGCTGCTACATGTCTCTGTCTCTCCCTAAAGCTGCTACATGTCTCTGTCTCTCCCTAAAGCTGCTACATCTCTCTGTCTCTTCCTAAAGCTGCTACATGTCTCTGTCTCTCCCTAAAGCTGCTACATGTCTCTGTCTCTCCCTAAAGCTGCTACATGTCTCTGTCTCTCCCTAAAGCTGCTACATGTCTCTGTCTCTCCCTAAAGCTGCTACATGTCTCTGTCTCTCCCTAAAGCTGCTACATGTCTCTGTCACTTCCTAAAGCTGCTACATGTCTCTGTCTCTCCCTAAAGCTGCTACATGTCTCTGTCTCTCCCTAAAGCTGCTACATGTCTCTGTCTCTCCCTAAAGCTGCTACATGTCTCTGTTTCTTCCTAAAGCTGCTACATGTCTCTGTCTCTCCCTAAAGCTGCTACATGTCCCTGTCTCTCCCTAAAGCTGCTACATGTCTCTGCCTCTTCCTAAAGCTGCTACATGTCTCTGTCTCTCCCTAAAGCTGCTACATGTCTCTGTCTCTCCCTAAAGCTGCTACATGTCTCTGTCTCTCCATAAAGCTTCTACATGTCTCTGTCTCTCCATAAAGCTTCTACATGTCTCTGTCTCTCCCTAAAGCTGCTACATGTCTCTGTCTCTTCCTAAAGCTGCTACATGTCTCTGTCTCTTCCTAAAGCTGCTACATGTCTCTGTCTCTCCCTAAAGCTGCTACATGTCTGTCTCTGTCTCTCCCTAAAGCTGCTACATGTCTCTGTCTCTCCCTAAAGCCGCTACATGTCTCTGTCTCTCCCTAAAGCTGCTACATGACTCTGTCTCTCCATAAAGCTTCTACATGTCTCTGTCTCTCCCTAAAGCTGCTACATGTCTCTGTCTCTTCCTAAAGCTGCTACATGTCTCTGTCTCTTCCTAAAGCTGCTACATGTCTCTGTCTCTCCCTAAAGCTGCTACATGTCTCTGTCTCTTCCTAAAGCTGCTACATGTCTCTGTCTCTTCCTAAAGCTGCTACATGTCTCTGTCACTTCCTAAAGCTGCTACATGTCCTCTGTCTCTCCCTAAAGCTGCTACATGTCTCTTCTCTCCCTAAAGCTGCTACATGTCTCTGTCTCTCCCTAAAGCTGCTACATGTCTCTGTTTCTTCCTAAAGCTGCTACATGTCTCTGTCCTCTCTCCCTAAAGCTGCTACATGTCTCTGTCTCTCCCTAAAGCTGCTACATGTCTCTGTCTCTCCCTAAAGCTGCTACCTAGTTCGTCTCTCCCTAAAGCTGCTACATGTCTCTGTCTCTCCCTAAAGCTGCTACATGTCTCTGTCTCTCCCTAAAGCTGCTACATGTCTCTGTCTCTCCCTAAAGCTGCTACATGTCTCTGTCTCTCCCTAAAGCTGCTACATGTCTCTGTCTCTCCCTAAAGCTGCTACATGTCTCTGTCTCTCCCTAAAGCTGCTACATGTCTCTGTCTCTCCCTAAAGCTGCTACATGTCTCTGTCTCCCCTAAAGCTGCTACATGTCTCTGTCTCTTCCTAAAGCTGCTACATGTCTCTTCTTCTCTCCCTAAAGCTGCTACATGTCTCTGTCTCTCCCTAAAGCTGCTACATGTCTCTGTCTCTCCCTAAAGCTGCTACATGTCTCTGTCTTCTTCCTAAAGCTGCTACATGTCTCTGTCTCTCCTAAAGCTGCTACATGTCTCTGTCTCTCCCTAAAGCTGCTACATGTCTCTGTCTCTCCCTAAAGCTGCTACATGTCTCTGTCTCTTCCTAAAGCTGCTACATGTCTCTGTCTCTCCCTAAAGCTGCTACATGTCTCTGTCTCTCCCTAAAGCTGCTACATGTCTCTGTCTCTCCCCAAAGCTGCTACATGTCTCTGTTCTCTCCCTAAAGCTGCTACATGTCTCTGTCTCTCCTAAAGCTGCTACATGTCTCTGTCTCTCCCTAAAGCTGCTACATGTCTCTGTCTCTCCCTAAAGCTGCTACATGTCTCTGTCTCTCCCTAAAGCTGCTACATGTCTCTGTCTCTTCCTAAAGCTGCTACATGTCTCTGTCTCTTCCTAAAGCTGCTACATGTCTCTGTCTCTCCCTAAAGCTGCTACATGTCTCTGTCTCTCCCTAAAGCTGCTACATGTCTCTGTCTCTTCCTAAAGCTGCTACATGTCTGTCTCTCCCTAAAGCTGCTACATGTCTCTGTCTCTCCCTAAAGCTGCTACATGTCTCTGTCTCTCCCTAAAGCTGCTACATGTCTCTGTCTCTCCCTAAAGCTGCTACATGTCTCTGTCTCTCCCTAAAGCTGCTACATGTCTCTGTCTCTCCCTAAAGCTGGCCTAAGTGCTACTGTCTCTGTCTCTCCCTAAAGCTGCTACATGTCTCTGTCTCTTCCTAAAGCTTGCTACATGTCTCTGTCTCTCACCTAAAGCTGCTACATGTCTGTCTCATGTCTCTCCCTAAAGCTGCTACATGTCTCTGTCTCTCCCTAAAGCTGCTACATGTCTCTGTCTCTTCCTAAAGCTGCTACATGTCTCTGTATCTCCCTAAAGCTGCTACATGTCTGTCTCTGTCTCTCCCTAAAGCTGCTACATGTCTCTGTCTCTTCCTAAAGCTGCTACATGTCTCTGTCTCTTCCTAAAGCTGCTACATGTCCCTGTCTCTTCCTAAAGCTGCTACATGTCTCTGTCTCTCCCTAAAGCTGCTACATGTCTCTGTCTCTTCCTAAAGCTGCTACATGTCTCTGTCTCTTCCTAAAGCGGCTACATGTCTCTGTCTCTCCCTAAAGCTGCTACATGTCTATCTCTGTCTCTGTCCCTTTCCTCTTGGTTTATTTCTTCTTAAAAATATATGTTTTATTTGAACTGCACTCGAAGTCGGGGAACCATGTGGAGGAAGAAGAGGGATGTTTTGCCCCTCACCCTAGCTTATGCCATTGCCTGCTAATGTTTTGACCTTTTGACCCCTTCCCTTACCCCGTACACCCGCCCAGGTACACTTTCACTGGCATTTACACGTTTGAGTCGTTGATAAAGATTCTGGCGAGGGGATTCTGTGTGGGGCCATTTACCTTCCTGCGGGACCCGTGGAACTGGCTGGATTTCAGTGTGATTGTCATGGCGTAAGTATCTCTCTTGTTACAGTAGACCTCTCTGTATCTCTCCTGTTACTATGTGACCATCTACTTCCTTTTAACCTGCCCTCTCCTTCCTTTTAACCTACTTCCTTTTAACCTGTCCTCTACTTCCTTTTAACCTGCTCCCTCCTTCCTTTTAACATGCGCTCTCCTTCCTTTTAACCTACTTCCTTTTAACCTGTCCTCTCCTCCTTTTAACCTGCCCTCTACTTCCTTTTAACCTGCCCTCTCCTTCCTTTTAACCTGCCCCCTCCTTCCTTTTAACCTGCCCCCTCCTTCCTTTTAACCTGCCCTCTCCTTCCTTTTAACCTGCCCTCTCCTTCCTTTTAACCTGCCCTCTCCTTCCTTTTAACCTGCCCTCTCCTTCCTTTTAACCTGCCCTCTCCTTCCTTTTAACCTGCCCTCTCCTTCCTTTTAACCTTCCCTCTCCTTCCTTTTAACCTGCCCTCTCCTTCCTTTTAACCTGCCCCCTCCTTCCTTTTAACCTGCCCTCTCCTTCCTTTTAACCTGCCCCCTCCTTCCTTTTAACCTGCCCTCTCCTTCCTTTTAACCTGCCCTCTACTTCCTTTTAACCTGCATTCTACATCCTTTTAACCTGCCCTCTACTTCCTTTTAACCTGTCTCTACTTCCTTTTAACCTGCCCTCTACTTTCTTTTAACCTGCCCTCTACTTCCTTTTAACCTGCCCTCTACATCCTTTTAACCTGCCCTCTACTTCCTTTTAACCTGTAATCCAATCTACACTCTCAAAGCAATGGATGCCCTTTTGATTACTCCTCTAATACTCTTTTCACACTACTGAGCCGAGCCAAGCTGTACTGTGCTGGCCTGGTTATGGATCCACCATAGTTACTGGAACCATGATGGAATGGAAAATGTGAAAGGAAAACATCTGAGCAGGCAAAGTACGGTTTGGGTTGGCAGAATAGTGTGAAAAGTGTATTGTATTATATTTGTTGTCTGACAAGCTGTATTGTGACTTCCCTCTATCGCTCCTCTTTACTCCTTAATCAAATCCCTTAATGTTCGACAGAAAAATGTCACTGGAAGTACAAGTTTGCGGAATGCTTTTCTTACCTCCTCTTTTTTATACATTGGAGGAGAGTACAGTTCTATGAAAACTACTCAGCTGTTTGAAGTTGACCTAACGTCTTTTTGATGCATCCATATTACGGGGGGGGGGTGGTGCTAAGCTAACATATAGAATTGTTTTAAGATGGTCATACTATGGATCATTTAGCTATTTGATTTGGAATTTTAGGACCCATAAAAAATATATGAAAATATTAATTGATAAAATATTGATTTTGGCCTTTACTACAAAAACCCATAGAAACGCATTGAATAACACATTCATAAATGGCATAAAAGACAGTCAAACTGAGACCACCATCGTGTTCGTGAGAGTCTTCCCTTTCCATAATAGTTTGTAGGTAAAACCGTTCGGACGCTACAGGCGTTTTTGTGAGAAGACCGATTTTCGGGATGTCTCATGGTCTGATAAACGTCGCTCTAGCTCTGCCACCTTTCACCGCAGATGCGGAAGTGCGACACTGGCAGATGTGGTGGATTGAGACAAAAAAAATACAGATATCTCTAGTTTAAACTGATGGATTTTGATGGGAGGTTAACTGAAAATCAATAACATCAGGATTAGTTACTGACAGTCCAATTGGAGATCAAGTGTTGTATGACTCAGATAAGATGAATGATCCTCAATTCTGAAGCATAAATCAATATTTGACGTCAATATGGAGGGCTGCTCTTTATGAATGTAAAACAAAATAATGTGACATTTGTATTACTGTAATACAGTGCCTTGCAAAAGTATTCATCCACTTTGGCGTTTTTACTATTTTGTTGCATTACAACCTGTAATTTAAATGGATTTGATTTGGATTGCATGTAATGGACATACACAAAATAGTCCAAATTGGTGAAGTGAAATGAAAAAAATAACTTATTTCAAAAAATTATACAAAATAAATAACGGAAAAGTGGTGCGTGCATATGTTTTCACCCCCTTCGCTATGAAGCCCCTAAATAAGATCTGGTGCAACCAATTACCTTCATAAGTCACATAATTAGTTAAATAAAGTCCACCTGTGTGCAATCTAAGTGTCATATGATCTGTCACATGATCTCAGTATATATACACCTGTTCTGAAAGGCCCCAGAGTCTGCAACACCAGTAAGCAAGGGGCACCACCAAGCAAGCGGCACCATGAAGACCAAGGAGCTCTCCAAACAGGTCAGGGACAAAGTTGTGGAGAAATACAGATCAGGGTTGGGTTTTTTAAAAACATCCGAAACTTTGAACATCCCACGGAGCACCATTAAATCCATTATAAAAAAATGTAAAGAATATGGCACCACATCAAACCTGCCAAGAGAGGGCCGCCCACCAAACTCACGGATCAGGCAAGGGGGGCATTAATCAGAGAGGCAACAAAGAGACCAAAGATAACCCTGAAGGAGCTGAACAGCTCCACAGCGGAGATATCTGTCCATAGAACCACTTTAAGCTGTACACTCCACAGAGCTGGGCTTTACGGAAGAGTGGCCAGAAAAAAGCCATTGTTTCAAGAAAAAAATAAGCAAACACGTTTGGTGTTCACCAAAAGGCATGTGGGAGACTCCCCAAACATATGGAAGAAGGTACTCTGGTCAGATGAGACTAAAATCGAGCTTTTTGGCCATCAAGGAAAATTCTATGTCTGGCACAAACCCAACACCTCTCATCACCTCAAGAACACCATCCCCACAGTGAAGCATGGTGGTGGCAGCATCATGCTGTGGGGATGTTTTTCATTGGCAGGGACTGGGAAACTGGTCAGAATTGAAGGAATGATGTATGGCACTAAATACAGGGAAATTCTTGAGGGAAACTTGTTTCAGTCTTTAAGAGATTTGAGACTGGGACGGAGGTTCACCTTCCAGCTGGACAATGACCCTAAGCATACTCCTAAAGCAACACTCAAGTGGTTTAAGGGGAAACATTTAAATGTCTTGGAATGGCCTAGTCAAAGCTCAGACCTCAATCCAATTGAGAATCTGTGGTATGACTTAAAGATTGCTGTACACCAGCGTAACCCATCCAACTTGAAGGAGCTGGAGCAGTTTTGCCTTGAAGAATGGGCAAAAATCCCAGTGGCTAGATGTGCCAAGCTTATAGAGACATACCCCAAGAGACTTGCAGCAAGTTTTCAGTTTTTTTTTGTCTTATTTCTTGTTTGTTTCACAAAAAAAAATATTTTGCATCTTCAAAGTGGTAGGCATGTTGTGTAAATCAAATTATACAAACCCCCAAAAAATCCATTTTAATTCCAGGTTGTAAGGCAACAAAATAGGAAAAATGCCAAATGGGGTGAATACTTTCACAAGCCACTGTACAGGGACAATGTTGTGAGACATACTGGAAAACCCTGTTTTACTTCACTATACTTCAATCCTCTTGCTTTTTTAGCCAACAGTTGCAGAGCAAACTTTTACTTCCAACATTTTAGAATGTATCCTGAATTGAATACCCATTACCGATTTTCTTACTCTTCAAATGTTATATTTGGCTTTGGTTGTGTGGGTGTAGAAACCACCTTAAGTTGCTTTTGAATAATATATTTTGCTCCTGACCTTCTACTGTGGATGGTCTAAACACGGAGGACATACGGCACCTTTTTTCTAAGGGAACAATTTTGAACATCCCCACCATGCATTAACTGTCTCCCCTGTGAGAAAACCGTGTTTGAAGTAGGAGTAGACTGTAGGTAAGGCTCAGACAGTTTCCCAGCCACCCATAACAGCCTCTAAACCAATGACAGATCATCTGATAGAGGACCTTAACCACAGGAGCAGGTTATATTTTTTTATTTTACCATTTAGCCATTAAGGATGCCTCCAGAGATTGGATGAAGTCCACCCCCCCCCCCTCCTCCCCTGATGAAGTGTTGATTTCTCATTTGGCTTTTGCAGCTTTATTTCTCCCTCTTTCCAGAGGGCCAGTCGACCTTGAACTGGATGCCTCTGTGGGGTCAGATGGATATTTAGCAGGACAGGGACACATCAGTCATCGACTTCCGCTGCCCTCCCACTAGTGTTGACAGACAGGCCACCTTCCTTCCCACCGCTGGCTTTATTAAATCCAGACTGATGACCCCCCCCCCCCCCCCCCCCACGCTGATAAATATCCACACCCCCAACCCTGGGGGTTCCCATGGAAACAGAGTGCATGCCATGTTAGCTATGAAGCTTTTGGAAAACTCACCTCAGAAATGTAATACGGAATGGAACCACTTAGGTCCAGAAGACTTAAAATACCTCATATGAGCAGCACATGGACTGGCACCATACTGGTTTTTCGCCTTTTTTTCCTGTAATCTCAGCTGTCTCTTTGTGTGGAGACATACTAACAGCACACATAACTATAAAAGAAAAATGAAATATCTATACTGTGCTGTTTCTGTCCTGTTCTCCATGTAAAGCTTTACTAAGAGGCAGTGAGCAGTCCTTAAGTGCTTAGCCTACAGTTGTCTTTCCTTTTTCTTTTTGGTGTTTGACCAAATAACTGTAATTTGATCCTGCAGGTTGCTAACCGAATTTGTTAAAGTAGGCAATCTCCAAGCACTTCGAACATTCAGGGTCCTCAGAGCATTGAAAACTATTTCAGTAATCCCAGGTAAGAGGGAGTCTCCCCTGCTGCTGCAGTGTTACCGAAAAATGGGTTACATTGTCTATCGTCCAGTCCACATACTGTTACTGTACTGTACATGCCCCTTCCCCCCCTTCCTCCTCTCTGTCCAATCCAAAGCCACCCTTTTTTACCCTTGACCTCTAGCCATGCCCTCCCACCCTCCCCTCTCTTCCAATCCCAGCCCATTCAACTGTTGTGTTTTGCCTGTTGTCGGTGCTTTGTCATTGTGTCTGCTTGACTTTCACTTGTTGCAGATATGTTACTGAGTTTGTGGACCTGGGCAATGTCTCAGCCTTACGGACGTTCAGAGTCCTACGAGCACTGAAAACTATCTCAGTCATCCCAGGTGAGAAGGGAGTTTCAAACACTAAGACACCACCCACCGCTGGAAGAGCTAAACCCCAGCTACATTCCAATTATGTCCATACTAGCACCCTACTGTACTTAGGATGAAGCAATGTATTGGGCATGCATTCACAGTGGCCTGCTAGTGTGGGTATTGGAACAGAGTCCCTTGTCATTTCGTTTTTGTTTCTGGTAATCAAACTGACCAGTGAGTGGAAATGAGACCTTTGAGTTGGGCAACGTCTGATTTAAAATGGAGGATTCTCACATTTTAGATTCTCAAAGAATATGTTTGCCCATAGTTTGTTTCAAGTTTTATTAGTCGTATGTACGGGATACGCATGGTTTACATCTCCCTACGAAATGCGTACTTGCAGGTTCCTTCTCGACAACGCAACAACAATAATAAATAAGAAAAGATAAGAAAACAAACATAAAGTCAATGGCTCAGTAGAATAGAACAAACATTTTAGCATGAGTATGATAAAGGAAGGCACAATTTATAGTCCAATATTAACACATGTATTGGGGAAGGGGGGGGGGGGGTCAGTGTATAACCTGAGCAGAATAATAAGAGTCTGGTAGCAGCCGTTGTGTTGTGACTTCAAATTAGTTTTGTATTTAGATGTATGAATGCCATTCATTTATTAAAAATGGCATAGTCATGCAACAATGCTTGCATCCACCTGCTATATGCAAACACTTCACTTTAGACATCAACAAAGTGAATGTATAGTCCACGGATAAAGTTTCAACATGACATCTGGCCTTAAGCCCAAGGATTATGTTACCTCGTTATCTGACTCAACAGGTCTCATTCACCCTTAGTGTTTAACAGGCATGGGTATAGTCAAATACTACTTTGTATGGTAATAATATCTCCATTCACAACAGACGCTCCCATAGGAAGCAGGACATACAGTCCATTCAGAATGGATCTCTACTCAAATAGGACTAAATCCCTTGTTTGGATGAAACAGATGTAGTACCCTTAGAAACATATAGTGCAGTATATTTCTGAGCAGGGCCCTATATGTAAACATTTACATTTTAGTCATTCTACAGTACATAACATGTCCACTTGACCTGCCCAGGGAAAAACCCTGAACCCTACTTTTTACTTTACGCTATAGGACCTAGACTCCTAGATTTACCTGGTAGGTCACTTTGGGATGATCTGTACCATAGCTACCCGGTATCTACTCTGTGGGGGCTAACTTCCATCAGTCATGGCCCATGTATTCCACTACACTGCTGTTCAGAGACATGGTGCGTCAGGCTCTTCATGGCTGACCTCCTTTGGCCCATGCCGTCTTCTGGAAATGCCAGAGTGGAAGTGACGGTTTAGAGGCTGTCTGCATTCCTCTCTGTGTTCATACTGTATAGCAGTCTGGCCCCCCACACTACCTTAAATCCAATACAAATCCTGGCCAAATAGGAATCAGGATAGTGAGGTAATAGCATAGGATCAGATGAGCTAAATATAGTTAGCTAGCAAACAAAATGCTAGGAAATCTTAGGAAATGCTTTGGGCACACTCTGAGACAGTCAGTCAGTCAGTCAGTCAGTCAGTCAGTTAGTCAGCCAGTCAGTTAGTTAGTTTGTCAGCCAGTAAGTCAGTTAGTTTGTCAGCCAGTCAGCCAGTCAGTCAGTCAGTCAGTTTCTCAGCCAGTCAGTCAGTTTGTCAGCCAGCTAGTTAATTTGTCAGCCAGTCAGTCAGTTAGTTTGTCAGGCAGTCAGTCAGTTAGTTTGTCAGCCAGTACATCAGTAAGTCAATTTGTCAGTCAGTCAATTTGTCAGCCAGTCAATCAGTCAGTTAGTTAGTTTGTTTGTCAGTCAGTCAGTCAATTAGTTTTCAGCCAGTCAGCCAGTCAGTCAGTTTGTCAGCCAGTCAGTTAATTTGTCAGCCAGTCAGTCAGTTAGTTTGTCATCCAGTCAGTCAGTTAGTTTGTCAGCCAGTCATTCAGTCAGTTAGTTAGTCAGTCAGTCAGTCATTCAGTTAGTTAGTTTGTCAGTCAGTCAGTTTGTCAGTCAGTTAGTTAGTTAGTTTGTCAGCCAGTCAATCAGTCAGTTAGTTAGTTAGTTTGTCTGTAAGTCAGTCAGTCAATTCATTTTTCAGCCAGTCAGCCAGTCAGTCAGTTTGTCAGCCAGTCAGTTAATTTTTCAGCCAGTCAGTCAGTTAGTTTGTCAGTCAGTCAGTCAGTTAGTTAGTTAGTTTGTCAGCCAGTCAATCAGTCAGTTAGTTAGTTAGTTTGTCAGTCAGTCAGTCAATTAGTTTTTCAGCCAGTCAGCCAGTCAGTCAGTTTGTCAGCCAGTCAGTTAATTTGTCAGCCAGTCAGTCAGTTAGTCAGTCAGTCAGTCAGTCAGTTAGTTAGTTTGTCAGCCAGTCAGTCAGTCAGTTTGTCAGTCAGTCAGTCAGTTAGTTAGTTTGTCAACCAGTCAGTCAGTCAGTTAGTTTGTCAGCCAGTCAGTCAGTCAGTTTGTCATTCAGTCATTTAGTTAGTTTGTCAGCCAGTCAGTCAGTCAGTTAGTTTGTCAGCCAGTCAGTTAGTCAGTCAGTAAGTTAGTTAGCATGTCAGCCAGTAAGTCAGTCAGTTAGTTTGTCAGCCAGTCAGTCAGTCAGTTAGTTTCTCAGCCAGTCAGTCAATCAGTCAGTTAGTTTGTCAGGCAGTCAGCCAGTCAGCCAATCAGTCAGTTAATGTGTCAGTCAGTCAGCCAGTCAGTCAGTTAGTTTGTCAGCCAGTCAGTCAGTCAGCCAATGAGTCAGTTAGTTTGTCAGCCAGACAGTCAGTCTGCCAGTCAGTTTGTCAGTCAGTCAGTTAGTTAGTTTGTCAGCCAGTCAGTCAGTCAGTTAGTTTGTCAGCCAGTCAGCCAGTCAGTTAATTTGTCAGCCAGTAAAGCAGTTAGTTTGTCAGCCAGATAGTCAGTCAGCCAGTCAGTTAGCTTATCAGCCAGGCAGTCAGTTAGTTTGTCAGCCAGTCAGTGGGTTAGTTAGTTTGTCAGCCAGTCAGCCAGTCAGTTAGTTTGTCAGCCAGTCAGTCAGTCAGTCCTTTAGTTTGTTTGTCAGCCAGTCAGTCAGTCAGGTAGTTTGTCAGCCAGTCAGCCAGTCAGTTAGTTTGTCAGCCGTCAGCCAGTCAGTTAGTTTGTCAGACAGTTTGTCAGCCAGTCAGCCAGCCAGTCAGTCAGTTAGTTTGTCAGCCAGTCAGCCAGTCAGTTAGTCAGTCAGTTAGTTTGTCAGCCAGTTTGTCAGCCAGTCAGCCAGCCAGTCAGTCAGTTAGTTTGTCAGCCAGTCAGCCAGTCAGTTAGTCAGTCAGTTAGTTAGTTAGTTAGTCAGCTAGTCAGTCAGTCAGTCAGTCAGTCAGTTGGTTTGTCAGCCAGTCAGTCAGCCAGTTAGTTTTTCAGCCAGTCAGCCAGCCAGTCAGTCAGTCAGTTATGTTGTCAGCCAGTCAGTCAGTCAGCCAGTCAGTTTGTTTGTTTGTCAGCCAGTCAGCCAATCAGTTAGTTCATCAGCCAGTAAGCCAGTCAACCAGTCAGTTAGCTGTCAGTCAGCCAGCCAGTGAGTTAGTTTGTCAGCCAGTCAGGCAGTCATCCAGTCAGTTAGTTGTTTAGTTTGTCAGCCAGTCAGCCAGTCAGTCAGTTAGTTAGTTTGTCAGCCAGTCAGTCAGTCAGTCAGTCAGTTTGTCATTCAGTCATTTAGTTAGTTTGTCAGCCAGTCAGCCAGTCAGTTAGTTTGTCAGCCAGTCAGTCAGTCAGTTTGTCATTCAGTCATTTAGTTAGTTTGTCAGCCAGTCAGCCAGTCAATTAGTTTGTCAGCCAGTCAGTCAGTTAGTCAGTCAGTAAGTCAGGTAGTTTGTCAGTCAGTCAGATAGTTAGTAAGTCAGCCACTCAGTCAGTCAGTTAGTTTGTCAGCCAGTCAGTTAGTCAGTCAGTAAGTTAGTTAGTTAGCATGTCAGCCAGTAAGTCAGTCAGTTAGTTTGTCAGCCAGTCAGTCAGTCAGTTAGTTTCTCAGCCAGTCAGTCAATCAGTCAGTTAGTTTGTCAGGCAGTCAGCCAGTCCGCCAATCAGTCAGTTAATGTGTCAGTCAGTCAGCCAGTCAGTCAGTTAGTTTGTCAGCCAGTCAGCCAATGAGTCAGTTAGTTTGTCAGCCAGTCAGTCAGTCAGTCATTTGTCAGTCAGTCAGTTAGTTAGTGTCAGCCAGTCAGTCAGTCAGTCAGTTAGTGTCGCCAGCAGTACATCAGTTATTTGTCAGCCAGTAGCAGGTTAGTTTTGTCAGCCGTAGTCCCGTCAGCCAGTCAGTTAGTTTTCAGCCAGCAGTCAGTTAGTTTGTCAGTCAGTCAGTGTAGTTATTTTGTCAGCCAATGTCAGGTCCAGTCATCGTTAGTTTGCAGTCAGTCAGTCAGTCAGTCAGTTTTAGTTTGTTTGTCAGCATCACAGTCAGTCAGTAGTAGTTTGTCAGCCAGTACAGTCAGTAGTTAGAATTTGTCAGCAGTACAAGCAGTTGTTTGTCAGCAGCAGTTAGTTAGTTGCGTCAGTCCAGTCCAGTCAGTCAGTTAGTTTGTCAGCCAGTCAGCAGTCAGTTAGTTTGTCAGCTTCAGTTAGAGTCAGTTAGTTAGTTGTCAGCCAGTCAGTCAGTCAGTTAGTTTGTTGTTGTGCAGCCAGTCAGTCAGTCAGTTAGTTTTGTCACCAGTACAGCAGTTTCGCAGCAGCAGTCAGTCAGTTTAGTTTGTCAGCCAGTACAGGTCAGTTTAGTTTCAGCCCGTCAGGTCAGTCATTTGTCAGTACAGATTTGTGTCAGCCAGTCAGCATCAGTAGTCCTAGTTAGTTTTCAGCCAGTCAGTCAGTCAGTTAGTTTGTCAGCCAGTCAGCAGTCAGTTAGTTTTGTCAGCCGTAGTTCAAGCAGCCAGTCAGTCAGTTCAGTTTTCAGCCAGTCAGCGTCAGTTTGTAGTGTTCAGTCAGTTAGTTGTTTCAGTCATAAGTCATTATTTTTAGTCTAGCCG